AAAATCATTTTATTTATTCAACAAATAAATAATTATTTATAATAAAAATTCTAAATTTTAATCATATTTGCGTATTTAACCCGAATGAAAGTAATACAATATCTCATTACCAATATTTACAATTATATTTTTATATTTGTATGTAATAATCACTATTTATTTTTTAATATAGATTCATACCTCCAATAGATCCAGATACAAATCAAAGTGATGGAATAGAAGCTCTTAATATTATTCGTAAAGAATCTGGTTGGGAAAAAATGAACCACATTAATATAGTTTATTTTGGTAAATAAATTAATGTAGATCGTATTATAAATGATGAAGTTAATAACATAAATTTTCGAATAAAAAAAGAACATATATCACAATTATTAAGATGCAGATTTACAGAAATAATGAAGAACTATCGTACATTATTATTTGCTATGTTATGTATATGCAATAAAGATGCATATCATTATTACCATAATTGTTTGATTAAATTATTTAGCTCATTCGTTAAATCAAAAAAAATGCATGAAGATTTGTATGAAGCTTTAGTTACTTTAAATAAATCATCTATATGGAGTGTTCATTTGAGCTCTAAATCTAGTTTATTTAAAATTTTTAAATGGGTTACAGGTTTTATTAGTTTATTAGAAAAAAATGATTTTCCTCTAAAAAATGTTGTTATTTCACATGATGTTAATAACACTGAAATGATTGAACAATATCTAGTAATTTTTAAAAACTATTTTAATATTTTTAGTGAAAATTTACGGATCGATTTGATTTTATATGACACCCGATGTTCAATGGATATAAAATTTGATAATGTTAAGGATTATGTAAGCTATTTTAGGAACCTAGGAAATATATCAGTTAATTCAAATTATGAAATGTCCAGCCAAATTATGCTTAATGCATTTAATTTTTATGACAATTTTTGTGAAAATGTTAGCAAATCTTGTTATGAAGATTTGGGTTTTGAAAAACTTTCACACTGTAAAAAAAAAGAATTAGACAGTAAACTTCTTTAGTTTGCTGTAAAATTATCTACTCAGCTTCAATTGCATAATAAAAATATCAACAAAATTAATTAAAAAATTTAATATGGTTTAATTATTACTTTATTATTGTTAATTATTAATTTTATATTTCTTATGCATAATTTAAAAACACACTTCTGAAATTATTGTTTGCGTTTATAATGTTCTTAGTCTTTTTTTAAAATTTTCTATTTTTGTTTCAGTCTTCACTTGCACACTTGATACAACATAATACTAAAATATTTCACTAAATTATAAATATATAATGATGAAAAACATTAAATACCATTATTTATTCTTACTGTTAATAATATTAAAATAAAAAAATTATAATGTTATGTTACGTCGTCATTTAGGGGTTAAGTCTAAAAGCCTATCAACTGTATTGTAAGGGACTAACGAGGGATAGCTAGCTAGGCTACATCCACCTTAGGTACTGAGGTTTCCTATTTAATTTATAGTAAGACNAAAAAAAAAAAAAAAAAAAAAAAAAAAAAAAAAAAAAAAACACATCATAGTAAAATTAATACCTTCTCCGCTTCGCATCGAAGCTAAAAATTATAATGTTATGTTACGTCGTCATTTAGGGGTTAAGTCTAAAAGCCTATCAACTGTATTGTAAGGGACTAACGAGGGATAGCTAGCTAGGCTACATCCACCTTAGGTACTGAGGTTTCCTATTTAATTTATAGTAAGACCTTAACAATACAAAATAGTTTGGGACAATTAAAAAAAAAACCCAGCACAGGGGGGTCGCGGCACAGTATTGACGTGGCATAGTTGGATCAAGTATAACGATATCTGACAGTGATTAAAATCACTATCAAAAAAAAAAATGCTTCGATGCAAATCTTTAGATAGTGTTTATTTTTAAAAAATTGGTGTATTATTCCAAAAGCTACATGATCTGCTAGTTCCTTATTAATATCTTTATTAAGATAAAGTATGTCGAATAAAAAAGGGATTATTAAAAAATATTATTTTACATAAAAAAATTGTGTTGATCCATACACTTTTCAATATGCCATAGCATTATAAAGTTAAAAATGTACATTTTAAAATCGAGAATTTTCACAGAAAAATAGCATTCGGTAGCCATTTTCACCATGAAGACAAAAAAAAGTCCGAAAATTTTTTTCCATAATAAAGTTTATTACATTATATTTAATTTAAGATATACATAAAATTGTCAGTCCTTCCGGAACATTTTCAAAAGTTAAGTTGAAAAAGTAAATTTTTTGTGAAAAAGTTGTCATTTTAAATCCCCCCCTGTGGGCAATTAAAAAGTCAGATTTACATAAAACATATTCCTAATGATAGGTAAAGACACCAAGCATCTATAAAAAAAAAAAATTATACTGATATGTCCATTTTTGAAAAAGTTACGGCAGTTTTTAGTAAAAAAAATTGAAAAAATTTCGAAAATTAGCGATTTTTAAATTTGTAATTTTTTTGGAGGTTTCCCCCATTTAGGGGGAACGATGGAAATTTTTTCAATTTTTTAGGATAATGTCTTCAACTAGATACAATTTGTGATCTTTTGACGTATCATTGAAAGAAAATGGTTCAGTGAGAGCTGAGAAAAAGTAGTAACAGACACAAAAAAAAAAAAACACATCTTAGTAAAACTAATACCTTCTCAGCTTCGCATCGAAGCTAAAAATTGAATATATTACCATAACTTTTAGCTCAATTAAAATTTTAAAATTGACATCTAGGACAGTCAACAAAGGAAAAATGGCAGAAAAAATTCCCAACCAAATTTTTTATTTTTTTTTAAGTTGAATTAAGATATGTATAATGACATAATAATAGTCTTCATTAATTGGAATTTTTTTTTTTTTTACAGCCTCGCAAGTTAAAAATATGAACTTTTTCAATTTTCTCAAAAAATATTTAACTAATATACTTAAAAAATATTTAGAAAAAAAAGTTTCGTACAAAAGTTATTAAAAAGACAATTCCAAACAAAAAAATTATCTTATATTTTTTCATTTAAACAAATATTTTTCGAGTTACATTACATTTAATATGAGTACTAAAATTTATACTCCTTTTTTTTCATTTTACGGTTTCTTTTTATCATGTTATACTTACATTAGACACAATGTTATAAATGCATATGTGTGTATGTGTAAGTTTATTTATTGATTGTATCATTAAAGTGTAGTCTATATAAACTTGTGTCTGTTACTACTTTTTCTCAGCTCTCACTGAACCATTTTCTTTCAATGATACGTCAAAAGATCACAAATTGTATCTAGTTGAAGACATTATCCTAAAAAATTATCCTAAAAACCTCCAGAAAATCAAGAAAAGCATTGAACTCAACATACAGAAAATCTTCAAAAATCAAACAACTTCAAGAAAATCAATC